AGTATAAGGGATGAACTTAAAAAGTGTTACATAATTAATAATTCAAGAATGATGTGTAACTAAATATAATCAAAAAAAAATGTTTAATTTATTATTATTCTGTAAGTAATTGAGCGGGTAATGATAAAAAAATCACTCTGTATACAATGTATTTTATGGTTGCATTTTTCAAGTGAATTTTATTAAATAATGTGATTTTTGTTTTTATTACTCAATTATCTCAAAAAAGGTCTCGCTGCATTTAATGAGATCGTAAACAAATATTATGTATCATTGATGCGCTGTAAGTTGCATTGAAATAATTTGGAAACTATTAGATAATAGTTCTATTTAAAACAATTTTTAATATTTAACTAAAAATTTTTGTTTGTAAATTTCAATCATTTTTTTCAACTAATTTATGTTTTGTATAACAACATAATTAATTGTAATAATATTTATTATAATAAATATATTTTTATTAATAAAAATATATATTAAATATTTTTTTTATGTTCATAAGTTAATAAGGAAATCTCACTCAAACATGAAGGAGCCTTAGCTCCCTATTTCCGATTATAGCTACTTCTACGAATAATTGATTTGTTTAATGAATTTATTTAATTAAAACGATTTTAATATAAAATTATATTTTAGGTAAATATGTTTGTCTAAAAGGCAATTGTAAGGGTCAAACCTTTCTTTTGTTATTTATGACCGTCCGTTCAATCGACCGTTCGCTAACGGATGGTTTCTATTATCCGTTGTGACGAACGTTTTTTATTGTTTTGAACGGTCGTCCGTTCGATGTTTCATACGTTCCGAACGTGTTCACGAACAACGTTCGCCATATAAACCTATATAAAATAAAATCTGAACGTATACGTTCGTGAACGGACGATTCAAAAATAGACCCCCTGTGTTCAAAGATCAAGAACGGTCGATAATGAAGGCAGCATTTTAATTTAAATAACTACTTCTTTTTTCAAAAAATTATGACGTGAACATAAAAAAAGGTCTCAAATCAACTGAAATCGTTATTTGAAAAAATCTTTTTTTACCTTTACCTTTATAATGACCCCTGATTATGTTATGATAGAGAATGTTCAGTAAGTAAGGAAACGGATAACTATTGTTTTCGTTGTTTATAACAATTGATCTATTATCTTATTTACTGAATATTGTGTATAAAATTTTACATTTATAATGTCAAACATATGGATTTCTAAATTTATGTGATTAAAATGTTTTCGAATATAATGTTAAATAATAATTTTAGAATTATCACTTACCACTTCCATTTTTATTAGAACTAGTATTCACTGTAATATCGCATACATAAACTTTTGGTGTTGTGTACAAATAAACAGCTTGGTTAATTCCAGAATAATCAAAATATTCAAAATCATGAGAATATTTTCGATACCCATTAGGATACCTAGGAATAATAATAAATAAGAACTAAAAATATTTAATAGTTGACTACACAGGGTATTCATTAAGAATTAGACATTAATTTTTTAGAAACTGTTGAATATTTTAAATGTTCTTAAAGGAAAATATTATTTGATCCAAAAAACTCTACAATAAAATGTAGTTAAATATATTTTTTTCCCCTAAAGGATTAAAAATCCTTAAAAAATTAATTTGCATATGAGTACCTTTATATTTAAGTTGATTTATTTAGAAAAAATAATTACAAAAAATGTTGTTTTTATCTTATCATTCTAATATGTTAACATGTATATATTATAGTGGTCTAAAAAAATTTTGTCCTCCTACCACCTAAATTTGTTCTCTAGAGTCTAAAAATAGTTTCTTCATTTATACTTTTGAAAAATATGATTTTTGAGCCATCCCAAGTAATTTAAAGTTTCTATCGTACAGAATAACCTACGGTATTTTTCCTATGCTATACTTATAAGTATTAGTGTTATCGCAATTATAATATTTTCTTATACGACTGTATTATTACTATATCAATAAATAAAACATTTTATCTACACCTTTGGCAGGGTTATTCCTATGTATTGTACAATGTATAACTTATTATACTATGACTATGTGAGTAAAGGTTGATGTACGTTTATTATTATTGAAGAATTATATTTTAGTTGACAGTGCGCTGTTTTGATGTTCGTGTAACTCTAATTGTTAATTGTCAGTGTGCTTTAAATGTGAATCAGTGCTAATTTAATTATATCTATATTTATTCAGTAAAAATAAAAATGACAACGCGAAGTAATACTTATATTTATTTAATTGGTCAGCCTATTTCAACTGTACCAGATAATCGTTTTCCGTCTAATGGTGAAGTATTAGGGTTTTTCTTTCATATTTATCGTATTGAAAAAAATTCGTTTAAATATGCATGCAATAAAGTGATTGAAGAAGTTACATTTGTTTGAAATAAATCAAGAATACCGACAACTCGAAAAGATAATGCTATAAATAAGTTTAAAAAACTTTATAATCAATGGCTAAATCTTTTCAAACATAAAAATAAAAAAACAGAGCTTCATCGACAACACGAATGCGGGTTTCATATAAAAATGGCCAATCTCTTCGATATCGCTGATGCTGATGCTTTAAAAAAAATTAAAATTGATGAAGATAGACAGTTTTTACTGGCACAATGGATGCCAGGGAGAAGAGGTTTTATGTCTACAGTGGACGTTTTTACCACGCAAAATAAAAATCGTAAAGATAAACGAAAAGAAAAACAACAACTTTATAAAGAAAAAATTACTAATCAAAATTTGAGAAATTTTTATGATTTTACATCATTCAGTACAGAAGAAAACCATTCTAGTGATAATATTAATTTCGACCATGATTTTATTGTCAATGAAAAAAAATCAAAAATAGTTCAAAAAGTAAAAAGAAATTGAAACTTTTGATCACATCAGAATTATCAGCTGTGCTAGATAGAACTAAGGTCAGTGATCGGCAAGCCACCTTTATCATTGGAGCTACACTAAAAAGTCTTGGAGAGAATATTGATACGTTTGCATGTAGTCGAAGTACGATAAAACTACATCGTAAGAAATTAAGGCAAGAAATGGCTAGTTTTATTAAAGAATCATTTACAATAAACAGCAAATTAACAGTTCACTGGGATGGAAAACTGATGTTGGATCTCACTCATTTACAATATGTGGACCGTCTCCCAGTATTGGTGTCGGGTGGAGATGAAATTAAATTACTGAGTATTAAAAAATTATCTTCTTCAACAGGATAAATGTAGGCACAAACCGTTTTCGATTGTTTGAGTGAAAAAGAATGGAATTTATACAAAAATATCGTTGCAATGTGTTTTGATACAACATTTTCGAATACTGGTAAAAACAATGGGTCATGTGTACTATTAGAACGTAAACTTGGAAAAAACTTATTTTGGCTTGCATGCAGACATCATATTTTTGAATTAGTCATTGGAGCAGCATTTCAAGCAGTGTTACCTTCAGCGACAACAGGCCCTGATAACCGAATGTTTTTACGATTTCGATCTTCTTGGTCTAAAATTGATCATTCTGCATACGTTATAGCAAACTCGACTATTATTCTAAGGATTACAGAGAATAAACGATATGAAATAGTTAATTTTTGCCAAGAAATGCTTAAAATCAAACAAGTAAGAGATGATTATTGTGAGCTGCTAGAATTATCAGTTATATTTTTTGGTGAAGAACCCACCAGAGGAATTAAATTTATGACTCCCGGTGCTACTAGTCATTCACGTTGGATGTCAAAAGTAATTTACTGTTTAAAATATTTATGTTTAGTGGACAATTTCATCTAAGTACCAAAGAAAAAAGGGGCCTCGAGGAAATATGTGTTTTCATTGTAACCGTCCATTTAAAAAATTGGTTCACTGCAACTTTAGCGGCATGTGCTCCAGATAATGACTTGCAACTGATAAAAACCTTAATAAAATATGATAAACCACATATTTCAAATGCCACTGTAAAAAAAATTATGGGTCATTTATGGTATTTGTCAGATGAGTTAGTTGGTCTTTGTCTGTTCGACAAAAATGTGACAGTTGAAACCAAATGTAAGATAATGTACGCCATAAATAATAACCCCTCTCCAGAAGTTCGCAATGTAAGACCGAAAATTGACTAACACGATGTAGAAATTTTGCTGCTTCATGATTTAGCTAACAAAAATACAATAAAAATTTTCACACAATGGTGTTGATGAATTTTTGAAAAATGACGTGGTAAACTAGACCGAGTCTAATAGCTACTTAAAAGCAAAGGAAGTTTTTAAAAATCTTCAAGTTACCAATGACGTGGCAGAAAGAGGAGTTTTATTGATCCAAGACCTTAATCGCAAAATTACCCATGATGATGACCAACTTCAGTTTCTCTTACAAATAGTTTCTGAGCATCAGAAGATTTACCCTGGTTGCAGCAAACACACTTTAAAAAAAAGCAATTCAACTTTTATATAATTTTTTAATTTTTTAGTAAGTAAAATTAGAAATGTTAAAAATGATTTATATAATATAGCTTGACTTATTGATAAAAAAATAAAAGAACGTATACATAAAATAGTTTTCGTTATTATTTTATTTTTTTTTTAAGTTAAAAATTTTCAAATAGCTAGATATGACTCAAAAATTAATTTTAAATGTTTTTTTTCTTGAGAATTGTATATGAAACCAGGTAGAACAATTTTCAAGTGTAGGAGTATAACTTAAAAAAAAAATGTTTTTTTTGTCACTTTTAGACCACCCTAATATATATATATATATATATGAAAAATCCAAAAAGTATTAACTTATATGTATCATTAGGATAAATTACATATCCTTGTGGTATTGTATCAGCTCTTAAAGTATTATCTGCAGCAACAACGATCAAATTCATTTCACCATACTTAAGTAGAGAAGTCGCGTCACATATAAATGGCAAATGTCCTCCTACATGTTCTACGCATTTATATCCGTTTAGCCACTATAATTTAATTATTATTATTTTAAATACTCATTAAACACAATTCCAATAACATAAAAGTGTTAAAAATAATTAAATATTTGTAAATAATTGTTTTTGTTTTAAATAAAATTCATAATTTTCTTTAACATTATTCTATGTTTATTATCACATGTTATTGTATTTCGTTACAAATGCATATAAGATATTTTAATGAGAAGGTTATTACAATAGAAAGCTGTCACCAGATCAACGATATGATTTAAAAATTCTTGGCTGGTATTAATATTATGAAACCATGTAATGTAGTAGTTTGTTGATTAGGTTGGAGTCTTGTATTTAAAATTATCTCACAAAATTGCAAGTCATAGTATTGGTGCTATTAAGCAATTTAAATAAATTCATTTTAAATTTCGAGGTTTTTCTTATTTTTTAGATAGCTTAGTATACGAAACTAAACATTTATATTACAGTAAATGTTTTTATTTGAACAATTGTTAAGTTATACTTAATAGAATTTACAGTTTATATGAACTATTACGTACCACGATAGATTTAAAATTAACACTTCCAAATCGTATAAAAACATTTTGTTGATCAGTAGTCCATCTTTTTGGTACAAAAAATTCTCGTTGATACCAATACCAACCCACATAATCTCTAATTGTCATATTTGTTGTCACATCATTGTAACTCGATGGTACAGGAATTTTAAAATAGTCTCCGAGCTATGCATAAAAAATGTTAATTATTAAATACACTTGTTCATTTTATTAGTTGTTTGAATACTTCTTTAATTTAGTTCAATAGAGATAGGAAGGAATTAAAAAAATTCCATCTCATCTAAAATTTAAAAATTAATTTAATTTAGAAAATTTTTAAATCTCCAACCGTCCTTTTTATGAGAATCTTCTCCGATTATTAAATTTAAAAACTTTGAAGGACAACATATATAATTTGTATGCCTCGTTTCTCAAAAAGTTATTGAAAAAAGAAATTAAAGATTCCTTGCTCCTTAGTTAAAAAATTTTAAAATTAACCCTTATTCAACAAGAGATAAAGACATCGTCTACATCCTTTGTTATCTAAAAAAATATTTTTCCTTTTCTTTCATTAATTTCTTTAAATTTACTGGTAATCTTCTTTTAGCAATATATTTACATGTTATCTTATTTGATATTTTTGTTGTTGTTTTACTATTAGAATATTAAATAAATTTATATAGTGTATAACAATATAATGTTGTACTTGTAATTTTAATATGATTTTGTATTTATTCTAGTAGTTATATCAATTATTGTACTACATTGTTATCATTACATTATAATTTGTAATGAATTACACTTAGATCCGTCCAATGAAATAAAATAAAATAAATATTAACATAATTGAAGTATTCTATCGTTTTAAAAATATTTGAACATTGGATTTAAATACTAAGCTTTAAATTAATATTGTAAATTGTCTTATAGTTGAGAAAAAAACTGTTGAATCAATGAATTTTGTGGTAGGTTTTCTACTATACAAATTAAATCAGAAATATCAATCCATTGATTTAAATTTTAGATTCGATGCGAAGCTGAGAAGATATTGGTTTTACTATGATGTGTTTTTTTTGTGTGTGTGTGCCTTTACCACTTTTTCTCAGCTCTCGCCCAACGGATTTCTTTCAATGATACGCCAAAAGATATCTAGTCGTAGACATTACCCTCAAAAATTTAAAAAAGTTTCATCGTTTCCCGTAAATAGGGGAAATCTCCAAAAAAATTACAAATTTAAAAATCGCTAATTTTCGAAATTTTCGAAATTTTTTTTTCTTAAAACTGCCATTACTTTTTCAAAAATGAACAAATCAATATAATTTTTTTTTATAGATGCTTGACATTTTTACCTATCATTTGGTATAATTTTTTTATAAATTTAACTCTTTACCTGCCTACAGGGGGGGTTTGAAATGACAACTTTTTCACAAAAAAATTTCTTTTTTCAACTTAACTTTTGTTAAGTTGACCGTAAAGTCTGACACTTTTATATATATCTTAAATTAAAGCTAATGTAATGTACTTTATTATGAAAAAAAAAAATTTCGGACTTTATTTTGTCTTCAAAATAAACAAAAATTTTGTTTAACATGAGTATGTGATCTTTTGCAGATCCTTCTTAAACTCAGGTTTTTCATTAGAATTTCTTACAAAGCATACTGAAATAAAGCTGTTGTCTGTAGTATATTTATTTTTTTAATTTTATTAGGATCAATTTAAAAAAAAAACCCAGTACAGGGGGGTCGCGGCACAGTGGTGCCGTGGTATAGTTGGATCAAGTATAATGATATCTGACAGTGATTAAAATCACTATCAAAAATAAACGCTTCGATGCAAATCTTTAGATAGTGTTTAATTTAAAAAAAATTGATATTTTATTCCAAAAGCTACTAGATCTGCTGGTTCCTTATTAATATCTCGATTAAGATAAAGTATGTCGAATGAAAAAGGGTTTATTAAAAAATATTATTTCTCATAAAAAAATTGTGTTGATCCATACACTTTTCAATAAGTTATAGCATTATAACTATGCTATAAGCATTATAAAGTTAAATATAATATAAAAAATAAAATCGAGAATTTTCACACGAAAATAGCATTCGGTAGCCACTTTCGCCGTGAAAACAAGTCCAGAGGTCAAATTTTTTTTTTTTAAATTAAAGTATATTAATTTAATATATTTAATATATTTATAAAAGTGTCAGATCTTCCGGAACATTATCAAAAGTTAAGTTGAAAAAGTTAATTTTTTGTGAAAATGTTGTCTTTTTAAATCCCCCCCTGTGGGCAGATAAAGGGTCAAATTTACAAAAAAAATATATCAAATAATAGGTAAAGACATCAAGCATCTATAAAAAAAAATTATATTGATATGTTCATTTTTGAAAAAGTTACGGCACATTTTAGTAAAAAAAATTGAAAAAATTTCGAAAATTAGCGATTTTTAAATTTGTAATTTTTTTGGAGGTTTCCCCCATTTACGGGGAACGNTTCGAAAATTAGCGATTTTTAAATTTGTAATTGTTTTGGAGGTTTCCCCCAGTTACGGGGAACGGGGGAATTTTTTTTAATTTTTAAGGGTAATGTCTTCGACTAGATACGATTTGTGATCTTTTGACGACTCGTTGAAAGAAATCCGTTCCGTGAGAGCTGAGAAAAAGTGGTAACAGACACAAAAAAAACACATCATAGTAAAACCAATACCTCCTCAGCATCGCATCGAAGCTAAAATATATATATATATAGAAATTTTAAAATACAAAAAAAAAATTGAAAATGTCATTATTTACAGTAAAGTCATTTTGAAATATTTTTTAATATAACATTCGAAATTGGAATAGTTTATTTTAGCGAATTAATTTAAATATATTCTAAAATTTGAATCTCTCTTGAATTCCTTGCTCAGGATTTCATTATGACCTTTATACAACTGAATATTTTAATATTAATTTTCAATGTTCAGAATTGATATTTTTAGTTACAATAGTTCTTATATTGATTTATTTGCCTAAAATTATTGATTTTATAATGTATGTGCAAATTTTATTGGTTTTAGCTAAATAATGCTTTGCAATAATAATTCTTTATGAAGGTTAGAACTAAAAACATAATATATAACTATAAAATGCAATCACGTGTAATAATTTTAATTAAGTTTATACAAGTTTTTTCAATGAATATCTCATAAACAGTGTGAGATAAAAACGTAACAATAGTTTCGAAAATTCTGTAATATTAAAAATATTAAATAAACTTTGAAAATTAATTAAATTAATAATATAATAATTTATAAGCAAGAAGATTATAAATATTTAACTAAAAACTAATTAGACCACAAATAAATAAAAATTAGAAAACAGTTGACTAAATCATAAAACTAATAATTAATTTCTTGAGAAATAAAAAAATAGCTGAAAATTAAATCTTCATAACAATTGGAGTTACATCTTTGAATTATGGAACGATCTATTACAATTTAGAAAATATTATTTTGATTAAATTAAAAACTTCACTTTTGCAAATTATTTTATTGTACACCCGATAAATCAATAAATTCAATATCATTCAAATTAAAATGTGATAAAATTAAAATAATGTTGAAATATTTTAAAAACTTATAAACATTAATTTATCCATAAAAATTTTAAATAGTTTAGTAATAAAATACTAAATTGCACTACTAAAATTATTATATTCTTATAAATATTTTATATTTAAAAATGATTAAGAATTTTCTTTTATTTGTGTTTATTATTTGGCATTTGTTTAAAGCCTTATCAATGTCAAGCCTTCAGACAACCATCAGTGAAAATTTTAAAGATTACATTATTAAATCTTTAAATCACATTTGTAAACAATCTGGATGGAACACAATGGGACACATACATTTTCAAAAACGTGGTTATACAATTAACAATTATTGTATAATTAAAGACTCTGTGAATGACAACAATTATTTAGAAAAACTCGAATGTATAACTAATATATTAAATTGTGAATACACTATTGTCATGGAAAATTTTAATGTAATGTTAGGAATGGTTTTAGATAAATGTTCAGCGGACAAAATAAAAAGTAACATGGAACAATTTGATTATTGTATAAATGGAATATTCGATATTTTTAAGAATTTGGTAAATATATTTGCAAATTTTTTAAATGCAGCAAAGTACATTAACCAAATAGATTTAAGAATAATAAGCTTATCTTTAAACAATTCAAAATGTATCGAAAGTGAAATTCATTTGTTTTGCATTTATTTAGCTAAGGTAGTTCAACAATATAATGTCAATACCATGGAATTCAATATACTCTATTATTTAAACATTTTTGATGAAATGATGAATTTTCACAAAAATGTTGAACACATTATACTTAAACTTTACAAAATTAGAAAAGTTTGTGGTTCACATTATGAAAGTCCAATTTCAACTAATTTACTAACTGTATATAATATAGAACAAATGGATAAATTAGTAGATGATTCCAACGATTATGTCAAAAATATTTATAATGACCTCAGTGCATACTTAGCTGTAATATCTAAAAATCATTTTTCAAGTCTTGGATTTGAACAACTCCTAGGAACTAATACATTCGAGTAAGATTTTTTAATTATTGAAAAAAAAATAGAAATTGGTCGGTAGCTTTCGGTGTTTCAAATTTTGACTAAAAACACTTTATTTTAGTTAATAATATGGACTGTATTTTTACTATATATCTTTTACATTTCATATATGAATAAAACTAAAGTTGCACCGGACTCATCATTCACTGTCCGGTTTACAACTGACTTACAAACCCAAAACCTAAGCTGCACCGCCCACCTATTCTATAACAAAATATCTCTCGTTTTTTTCCCCAATATCAAACAGAAATATTTATACTTAAATCTGTTCATTAGTTTATATATACATCATTTCTATTGTTTATAAGAAATGTAATTAGATACACATTAAAATTTCATACTTACACTACTTAAAGTTATCAAAAAAACTTTTGGCAAATTTCTTATATAAAAAAACCCAGCACAGTAGGGTGGCGGCACAATGGGGTCGTGGCATAATTGGGTCCAGTATAGATGATATCTGACAGTGATTAAAATCACTATCATAAAAAACGCTTCGATGCAAATCTGTAGATTATTAATTAAAAAATAATTAAAAAAAAAAAAATTTGTTAAAATAGCATATTTTTGAATATGGTAGCCATTTGCGCATAGAAGATAGGTCGTTGGGACAAATTTCTTTTTTTCATTTTATAGTACATAAAAAAAGCTTTAATTTGATATATGTTTAAAGGGCGCAGTATTTCCGGAACATTTTCAAAAATTAAGTTGAAAAAGTTAGTTTTTGTAAAAAAGTTGCTATTTTAAATCCCCCCTGTGAGCAGAATAAGTGTTAGATTTTCAAAAAAAAATGATATCAAATGAAAGAAAATTACCTAAGGTTTCAATATAAAGAAATATTATTTTGATTAGTTAATATTTGAAAAAGTTATGGCAGTTTTAAGTACAAAAAACATCCCAATAAAAGGTGATTTTTATCGCAAACATTACATTTTTTTTTAATTTTCCACAGCCATTTCCACATAGAAGATAACATGTCGGGACAAATTTTTTTTTTCATTTGATAGTATATAACATAACCTTTGATTTGATATATGTTTAAAGGACGCAGTAGTTATGGCAGTTTTAAGTACAAAAAACATCCCGATAAAAGGTGATTTTTATCGCAAACATTACATTTTTTTTTAATTTTCCACAGCCATTTCCACATAGAAGATAACATGTCGAGACAAATTTTTTTTTTCATTTGATAGTATATAACATAACCTTTGATTTGATATATGTTTAAAGGACGCAGTATTCCTGGAACATTTACAAAAGTTCAGTTGAAAAAGATCTATGTATTTTACAATATTTTAAGTTTTGAACGCCCCCTATATAAGGGGAAATTGTCCAATTTTAATAAAAAGAAGTATGCCAAANGGAAATTGTCAAATTTTAATAAAAAAAAGTATGCCAAATGAAAGATGAACTTATAATGTATTTAGAAAAAAAAAAATGTTGATCTCATGCTTACCAAATTCCTAAATAATAAACCTCCTAACCGCTGTCATCACCAAATTTATTGAATCCAAAAATGATAAATAATTCATACACCTCTAATTCCCTCCTAATCCTACTTTGGAATGCCAATGGACTTAAAAACCATAGAAATGAACTCCTTATCACTCTCCAGGAAAAAAGAATAGATGTAGTACTTATCTCTGAAACTCACTTTACCAATTTATCCTATGTTAACTTTCCTGGCTACCACTCATACCGTGCAAATCATCCAGACAACTCTGCCCACGCTGGTGCAGCTATATTTATTAGAGCTTCACTCGCTTATACTCCATTACCTAACTTCCATACAAATCACATTCAATCGTGTGCAGTTTCCTTATTGCTCAACAATGTACCTATTACCATAGCAGCGGCATACTGCCCTCCTAAACACAAAATCTCACCGGATCAATTTACTGAATTCCTAGCCACTTTAAATAATAATTATATAGTTGGCGGTGACCTCAATGCTAAACATATTCAATGGGGCTGCCGTGCCTCCAACCCTAGAGGTAACTCTCTCCTTCAAACTGCCTACCACTCTAACATTTCAATTCTCGCTCCACCTAATTACACCTATTGGCCCACATCTCGTCATAAAATGCCTGATATTCTAGATATCTTTGTCGCCAAAATTCCAAATAGCCTACACACACAA